GCCTAAAACACAACTAATTTTATTTCAATATTTGTTGCATTTTACAATGATCCTCTCCCTTCCTCCCACGACATACTAAATGTTAAGTCTTTATCAGCTTTTTTATTTATTTGTTTTGATTAAACTAATTAGGGAGTAATACTTTATAGCAATCAATCATTTAGGTGTCAATACCAAATTAGTTGAAGTTTATTATGTTAATTTATTCTATTTATACGTTAATTATTTGTCATGAGTTCTATAAAATTCTACTCTTTTGTTAGAAATTGGATACATCTCTATATATACTTCCTACTCTTTTGGTGTCCATTTTTACTAATTTCTTTTTATGAGAATGCCCTTTTTCTCTTTGAGGATAGAGCATTGTGTTTGGTGTTGTATATATAGTTTGTTATGTATTTGGAAAAAAAGTGGAATTCTTTGATTGATAACCTCAATTTAATCTTTCAAGTTCTTCCTCATTTTATTCATTTAATTAAAAATATTCTCATAAAATCAATCTAAAAATATCAGTAAGAATACTGACATAAGTAACAAAAATTCTTACGAAAAATACAATCACAAGTAAGTGAAATATGTTCTATGTTTAATCAATCTACGTAAAGTGAATCGAAAATAAGTCTGCAGTGATATGTTGGTTTTGCAAGTTGATTAGAAATGTCGGCGTTACGTTCTCAAAGAGTAAGAAACGTGAGAATCATGAAGAGTTATTATTCGTGTGAAACAATAAAAATAGAAAAAACTACAAAATAATATAATACATATCATGAGGATTGAGGAGTAGCACCAAAGCAAACTTCTGTATTATTTTTTATGTAATTAGCAACCGATTTCTTTGTATTGAGGCGGACCCAAGCTAAGTTAGCTTATCTCAAATAGTGATTTTATTTTTTTTTAATATAAACTATGATATATAAATTTATATTTCATATATAAAAAAATTTATCTTCAACGTGTAAAAATTATCGAAAGTATTAAATTTGTTTGTATTAAGCAGCCGATTGCTTTGTATTGCGGCGGACGCAAGCAATATCTATCTCAAAATAGGCAAGTCGGCAAAACCCCACATGTCTCTATTTTCATTTTTTAGCTCGGTGCGCATTTACTCTAACTAATATTAATTAAATAAAGTGGCCAACATCTTCAATTTTCATCCTACAATGTTTAGGTTTTTAATACAAAATTTTCTAAACACACTAACTATGATTTCGAGAAGATGGTTTTGATAAAATTCATTGACTCATAAGATTACATCGGATATATTAATTAGATAAAGCTCATCTTATCAATCAGAATTGAAACTAAAGTTTAAAGTTCACGAGATTTAATTTTTTTTGTATTAATAGGTTTCTTTTGTAAAAGAGCTCGCTCTACCCAAAATTGACAACTCAATATTGTAAAAGATTCGAAGTATCTAATTCAAAATCTTAAGGTAATGAACAAAGTTAGATTGAGGATAAAGCACTTCCTAACAAAGGTGACTTCGTATCAAAGGGACTCAAAATAAACTAAAACAATGTACAAATACTCTAAATACAATATAATACTATTACTATTTGGCGATAGCTTTTCACGTAGTTAGTAAAATATTGAATTAAGAAAAAGGACAATATGATACACAAAATATTCCACGTTAGCAAATTTTAAAGATTTGATTGGATTACTTCAAATAATAGATTAACACAATACACAAACAGTCTTAATATAATTTAATATTATTCGTATCTCACGAAATTTATACGAGTTTTTCACATAATTATTAAAATGAGTATTAAATTATATATATAAAAAAGACGGTATAATACACAAAACGTTCCATATTAGTACATTTTAAGATATTAATTGGATTACTTAAAATCCAGTATGAAGAAATTTTTCTTTCTAAAATAAAAGTCATAATATATAATATTTTTATTATTATATAGAAAAATAGAGTTTGGATTTGAAACGGAAGTAAGGTTATATGTAAGCTGAAATCAGTGGCATGTACATGTGCTTAGAACTTTAATATATATCATTTGCGTGGACATAAAAAAAGTCACTCTCAAACGCCACCACACCGACTTACTTTCACACTTAATTTGTTTTTTCCATTTTGATGATATAACCTATGGTATTATTTTTGCAATTAAAAATAATATTAATTACCGCCCCTCCTAAAACTTCAACCAACTTGTCAACAATCTAATTAAAGTCATCCTCATCTTTAATTGTTAATCCATTTTAGTCAAAATTCATTGTATGTTTCTCCTTTTGAGTTCTACCACTAGATTGTGTTGGCAAAGATAGATATACATATAATGGAAAGGAAAAACAAACGGACTATAATAAAAATAGTTTTTAGCTATAATAAATATATATATTAACAAAAAATATTAGAATTATCATCGGTATTACTTAATTAATATTGAATCAAATGCAGTTATAGATTTTAAGGACATTTACATTGTTGTTCAAAATATATATATTTGGTGATAATTAAGCTATCATCGTTAATTAATTATTACTAAAGATCAATTTTTTGATGTAGTGACAAGGCAAAATAAGAAAGAGGGAATAAAAGTAAATTGTAAAAATAATTAGGTTTTACGTTTTTACATTCACTTATCATTATAAAAAAAACCTAAATACAATTTAATTCTTGATTTATTTAATATTGGACTTCGTATTAGGTTATTCACGCATTACATATTTAATCCTAGACATTCGAGGTATTGAGTATCTTATCCCGTAAATATATTGTCTAAAAGTTCAATTAGGTTTAACGTCTATTTATTAGTACTATTTTAATTGTTTTCCTAAGTTGTTATAATAGCAAATTCATCAACATATTTAAATTAAATCACCAATTGGAAGCCATAATCAGTCAGCTCTGAATATTATTTCTTGGATTACATATGGTTTTAAATTAAAATATTATGCTTGGAAAAAGATGTTTTATTGATTTAAATGAAGATGTTTCCACATTTGTCGTTATCGTTGAACGAAAAAATAAAACTTAGTGCAATCATAGAAGTTAAACAAAAAGATTTAAAAATAAAAATTAAATTGCCATAAATATTTATGTGATTACAAATTTGTCTAATCATCTATCGATATGATTGTGATGGATAAAAGACTTGAATTAAATTTATGAAAATGAAAAAATCATATAAAAAATATCGCTCAAAATATAAGCACTATAATATATAAAATTTAAATTTAATTAAATTTTAATATGAGTAACGGAAGAGATAGGCATTCAATGTCCACATCGGTCAAATAACGATTGATATCTTTTGATTTAATTTATTTTGAAGTCTACTTGCAATTGTAAGTTACAACTAAAAGCAACCTAATCGTACCCTCTGGTGCTCTTCCTTAATTTTTTCCGTTGATTAACAATAGTATTGAAGCCTGACCTAGATTTGCGTCATATAAGACCTTATTAGGGAAATTACTTTAAAAAATTAATTTCTTCGTCACATTTCCATTTTTTACGTCTCTTTAAAAACTTATTAATAAAAATTTGAATAATATATATATATCGTAGTTTGCGATTAAAATTATAAATGGAGAATTCATAAATATCTCGTAACAAAAAAACTACGACTTGAATTAGCGTCACATTCAAAACGTTTGATCTTTGCGTGAGGAGGAAGTGTGGCACCGCAATTTAGTTTAATTTCATGTATATATTTAATATTTTATTTATACATTATAAATATATTCATGTAGGACAAAACTATGGGTAAACATATAAAATGCATTCATATTTCAAAAAGGAAAAAGAAAAAATGAGTAACGTTATTGTTAAAATTGCTGTATTTTTAGGCTAGTAAATTTTTAGAGCTCATTTGATTTGTAGACCAATAAAAAAAGAAAAAGGGAAGAGCCGACCGTCAACACCATTTTAATGACCTCAATGATTATTCTGTACTTCTTTAGATATAATTATTTGAATTTCAAGTTTCCTGTCTACAAAAGCTATTTTTAGCTAAATATGTGGAAAAAATTATGAGTATCAATTATTATCCACATTATTATAAATAATTATTTTAAACTATTTATTAATTTATAAAATTAATTATTCCATTCTTACAAATTTATTTATTTTAAAAGTGTAAATGTAAAAAAATTCAAAAAAAATCTTAAGACATAATTAATATTTTTTTAATCTATGATATCTTTAAAATGATATAGAAAAAAAAGTGAACTAATTTAAGACGAACAAAATGCTAGAAGAGGTTCAGTGTGTTTTGATCGTTGGATTAAGATTTTTAGGAGTACTAATATTGTTGTCATTTCAATTTATAAAATAATTTATCTATATATCAGTTGATTACTGAATAAATAGTACATCTAAAAAGTAAAATAATTAAACATATATAACAAATACCTTAATAATTAATAGTAATACATTACTAACCTGGCTAACTTTTGTCGATTACCAAATGACCCCTAAATACTTTGAATCAAAGAATAAAATTATTTCCTCCCTTAATTAGTGAAATTGTTGTGAAGAAAAAATTGGTCCGATGGAATATGTCGGCCGAATTTGTACTTATCTTTAAGGAAGATCAACGTGGCGGCCGTGCCTAGACGACAGACTAGCAGCCTAGCAAAGAAAACAATTACTCCCTCCCCTTATGCGTGCTCCATATGCTCTCTTCCCTCAATCATCACTCACACTAAAACTCACAGCATCACCCACGGAACGGTGACGGAATAATAAATACTCCTTTATTTTTAATTAAGAAATCTGAGATCGAGTAATTTATTTCATTAATGAGTGCTTGATCTCTAATGTAGAATTTCTTAACGTAAAATCGAATTTAATCAAACTATAATGTAGATTCTGGATAATTAGAGATTTAAAAGAAAAAAACTCACATCATTATAGGGTTTGTTACTTGTTTTTCTCTTTCCATATATAAATACAAAATTTATCTCTATATTCCCACCTCCATATATATACGACACTTGTTTTAAATACGACATATGTTCTTTCATATATCTAATTTTCTCCTTCCCCATCTTCTTTCTTCCTTGTGAAACAAGTGAGTATTATATTTTTTTCTTCTTTGTGAAACTATGATGGAAGGAGAAAAGAGAAAGCAGAGGGAACACCAACAAGATAAGCCATACAGAGGAATACGGATGAGGAAGTGGGGTAAATGGGTAGCTGAAATTCGAGAACCAAACAAACGCTCTCGAATTTGGCTTGGTTCTTATTCTTCCCCTGTTGCTGCTGCTCGTGCTTACGATACCGCTGTATTTTACTTGCGAGGTCCTTCAGCTAGGCTTAATTTCCCTGAATTCATAGTTGATGACCATGAAAATCACGATCTATCAGCTGCTTCTATTAGGAAGAAAGCTACTGAGGTAGGTGCTAGAGTTGATGCTCTTCAAACTGCGATTCATAATTCTACTGCTATTCCTCCTGAATCCAACTGTAATTCCAATTCGAAATCAACAAGGATGATGATGAAGCCTGATTTGAATGAATATCCTACCCCAGAAAGTTGCGACGAAGATAATTGAATCTCTGCTTCAAATTAAAGCCATAAGCGGCGAGTTACAGAGGCGAAAAGGGGATTATTGTTATGACGATTAGATATATTGAGGATCCATGTATGAAATATAATCCGAAGGGATTATATGTTAATATTATCAATTATGGTAGTTATTAAAGGAAATTAATCTCAAAATTACGATTAGTGTTTGTTCGTTTCTTTGAATTTGAATGTTTTTTCCTCATAATTCCCAATTTTGTTACTGTTCCATTGAAGATTGGAATGGAATCGTCATGAATCACTAATAATAGAAGATAAAAGCAAAAAAAAAACAGGATATGGCCTACAAAAAAAAAAGGAAAAATTCAGTTGGCAAACAAATTCTCTTTTATGTTAGAAGTAGATAAGAAGATAAGAAGAAGAAGAGAGATGAGATGGGGTTTGTGTTGTAAACCGGTAAAATATGTGACGTTGATCGTGTGTGGAGACCACCACCGCCATACGATGGAGTCCCCACGCCAGAGCCATGGTGTTTTAATATATTTTTTAAAAAAAACTTGAAAAAGTAGTGGTCCTAATTTATTTGATTAACCTTTGTCCAAATTTTGTATTGGAGTCTTGATTAAATGAATGAATCTCGTACTGTAGAATCCTTTTTTCTACACTTTGAAAATCTACATTTGAATATGATCGATGACGCTCTTAGTAAGATAAAAACTTTTTTTTTTCATATCGACAATTTAAACTTGAGATTTTTAATTAAGAATGAAATAATTTTACCATTGTATCACGACTACTCGTGTTAATAATAGTGGACCTAATTAAGTCACTGTCAGGGGTGGGGATTATGATGATTATGAAGCTGAGAAGGAAAGTTTTGTTCCCTGTTTGCTTGGGTATTGGATGACGCACACCTGGGCGGTGTTTATATTTTTCACTCTAATATAATTTCTTTTAGATATTTATTTTATTTGTGAATATTTTTAAGTCATAGCGGATCTAGAGTATGGTGTGAATTTTTGAAATTTTTATGTAAGCTTTATTGCCTTCATCGATGAGGGACCAATTCCCTTTTGGCTTAGGTCTTTTATGAAATTGAACATGTGTGTTTAAACTATAAATTAGTGGTTTGTGGATTTTTTTTTTGGGATTTTTCTTATTTCTATCTTAAGAAAAATTGAAGTGAAACGTAAAATTAGTAAATTTGTAATGAAATAATAAGGTATGAAATATGTTGGAAGGACTTAATTACTTACTTACACATGTTATGTCACATTTATTTGGGATGAGGTTTAGTAAAAATGAGAAACAATATGATCAATCAAAAGGCGTAAAACATGTAAAATTATCGTTTTATTAGAGTTATTTGTTTTTTAGTAAGATTTTATTAGAGTTATTAATTATGTGTTAAGTTTTTTAAGTCGTTTTTGCTAATATTATGCATCTGTTTGAGTGGTGGAGCCAAGTGCCAACCGATGTTTTTCATTGGCTTTTCACAAATCGAACAATCACGGCATATATACATACACAGTTCATAACAAGATTTATATATTTTTATTTTTATTTTCAAATTGTTGGATGGGTTTCAGTTTTTTTTTTTAAAGTCCAATTAAGGTAGAACGTTTTTTAATAAAAGTGATTTTATATTCAAGAGATTCGAATTCGAAACCTCTAATACTTATCACTCCATCATTATCCTATCGGTGGGTTTCAGTTGTTTTCACATGAAGACCAGGAATTCTTATTTACTTTGTCAGATCAAAGTACAGATTCTGGAATATATCTCAGATTCCTTAATACTTTTTCTGATGCATAGTTGATTTAAACTAAAATAAATTAGTTGTGCAGTTTGTTTTATTTAATCAGTAACATGGAGATAAGTACGAGGCGGATATGATATTGTATCAAAAGCTCAATCATTTTTTTTATTATTTTTAAAACACTAATCCTAAACAATTCTGTTGATCTGTATTTTTTTTCTCTATTCAAAGCTTAATATCTCGCGTTTGATTAATTTGGATTTGTAACAAAAATGTTACTTTACAAGTATAACGCTTTTTATAAACGATTTAATTCTTACGGTTTAAATTTAAAATCTTTTATTAAAGATAAATGTACGCACGTATATATATTACTCTATCACAATCAGTACTATTGGTGAATTATACACATAAGCTTGTCTTGTATGTATCTTGCATTGGAAAAAAACATTTCTAAGTCCAATTTTCCCATGTCTGATGTTTAGAATGTTTCGGAGATTACTTTTTATAGGAAAATAAGTTCATTAAGCAACAACTTACTTTTATTAGTAGAATAAATATAAAAAAAAAAAACAAATTTCATAAATGATACGGTATGAATTGTCCCTCCCCCCCCTCCCTTCCCCACCTTTGTTGTACCAGTGCATGTCTAGGGGTGAGTTCCTTTCTTTTCGTTCAAAAGTATCAATCCTTCACCTCAATCTCATCTAAACGCCCCCCTTCCATCCCACCCCCAACTCAACTCACCCTCTCCATGCTACCCAACCTATTTTGGATCCTCAATATTATTGTTATAATATCTTTTGTTTACTTATCAAATATCAGGAAAACACAAGTAACAACTTAATTACTAAACATGTACACCCTATATTTCCATATCATTAGCCTAGTTTCTTCGAGACATACCATAAAGCAAAGTAGCTCATTGAAGTCCAATAATGTTGTGATTTTCAACCAAATACAAGTTCTATAACAATATCTTTCAATGATAATTATAATATAATGGTGTTGCTATCTATGCTTGATGTTTGGTGGTTGGAGGTTTAGTCATAACATGATTTTTTTATTTTAATTAGTAGCATACTATAATACTCCACAGTAAATCTTAAAATAAAGAGAGATCTTTGAGGATCTTTCCACTTGTCCAATGTTTTGGTCGGCTATTACAATTTCATAGTATTTATTTATTTGGAGTTTTATTGTATGGAATGATGCAATGCGGTTGGCACAAGAAAGATTCAACCAATCAATATTAATTATACACTTCTTCTTGGAAAAAAGATTAATTAAACTAATTAATACTGTGGTCGGCTAAGCACTATTCATTAATTTCCAAATTATTGGACCACTTATTAAATTAATCAGAGTTTGGTCGAATCAGTCTCTTAATTTAACTCCAAACTTCAAAGTATAGGATAATTATGCATCTATTCTTTTAATCATTTGCGTGACTTTACTTATTCAATAAATATTGGTGGAAGGAATGTTAATAATTTTTTATTTTCCAATTATTTATTCAAGTTATAGGAATTGGAGGAGAGAGAAAAAGAAATGATGGGAAGACTATAGTAATATAATGAATAAGTAAATAGATTTTTATTTTTCAATAAGTGAAAACTGGACAAATAAAATTGAACAAGAGAATAAAGCGTTTCTAGAGAGAATTGACTGCTACGGACGAGATTTGATTGGGGTTTGCAAACTCTAAACGATGAGCCAAGATAGACTTTAACCTTCATTTCAATTAATTTGACATAATTTAGGAATTGTTAGTTTCTCCATTAATAGAAATATGAGTTTTTTGAAATGTGAGTTTCATATTTAATCTTCCATTAATAGAAATGCGAGTTTATAGTTTCTTTTTGTAAATTATGCTATATTTGGACTATTTTCAAGACAATATTACTGTCTGTGGAGTAATAATATAAAATTAACATATTATATTAGTAATTAAATGGTGAAACAATTGGTAATATAATAATAATACGAAATTTGATTCATTACTTAATTTTGCTCCTTAATTATTACTGTGATGGTGAGTTATCATGTTCCTCTTTAAGTACATTTAATTTCTTGTACATTTTATTGTTTTAAAGAAAATTTCTTTTGTAATTTGTACTTAATAATATAACACACACAATAAATTATTATTAATTAATGCGATACACACGTGCAAAACACGTACACTTAACTAGTTATGAATATTACAAACAAAGAGATGAAAAATTCACGTTTCAATTAATTAAAGATCAGATATCAATGAGACTAAAATACAGTTTATCAAGAATCGAGGAAATGAAAATACTTTGAAGCTAATAAAAAGGACATAAAAGGGATCATAATAGCTAAAAATAGAAAAAATAGCAGACCGAGATGGAAATTTGGAGTTGGAAGGGGACTGGTCATGATCATGGACACACTAATCAATTAGAGCATACAAATTTGTCTGGCAAAAAATGTTTTTATTATCGTCGTGTACCAAATAAAAAATCATTGAATCACTGGACAGGTCCCCAACTTTCTCAAAAAAAATGCATTTGCTACTTATTTCTTATAATAATAACTATCAATAATATTCCACCACTTGGCATACAATATCATTGTTTGGACATCCATATAAAGAGGGCTAGTTACGGGTTCGAACTCACTCACTAGTTTTTAAGACGAGTGATAGCTTAAATGGCAATGTCAGAACTCATAAACTTCAAATTCTGACTCTGCCTCAGTTTATATTTTACATACGATGAGCTATCCTTTAGAAATCTCTTTTCATTGGCGTTGATGTACTTGCAATTTGCAAATTTTATACGAAAGTATTCGATTGCTTTTACCGTTATTTTGTTATCAATAACGTAAGGTACACATATGAACATTGCTTAAGATATAAGTTTTTGCTTTCCTATTGGGTTATATAGTAATGAAATACAACCAATTGTGGAACTTCATTAGCAACTTTTGCCTTTTTCTTTTAACTTGTGGCTTCAAAATAATTTTTTGACTCCCTTTGTTACTCCACTAGAAGCTCTCTTATGTTAAGATCAAGATTAATCGGCTTATGTATATATCAAACTACTTATTTCATAAAGAAATAGAATTTGAGTCTAATTTAACCCTAAAAGCTAGTTCTAATGGTAAGAATATATTGCTCAAGCCATAATAAAGAGGCCATTCATCCTTGAAGCCTCGATGTGATGAGAAGCTTTACATATTTTCACTCTAATTACACCACATAGAATGTTTCGGAAGAAGGGGATTCAGTTGAACTCACTTATTCTTAGCTTCGCAACTAGGTCTCGGAACAAGTAGGATTTTTGAACTTCTAAAGAATGGCCAATAAGAAAGGAAAGTCGAAATTCAAAAGCAAAGCCAGAAATAATAATAAGGGATTCAAAAATCTAAATCTAAGACCTAAAGTAATACACATTTATCCTTTTTGTGCGATATGATTT